ACCATGATGGAGCAAAGCGACCAGATGGCATTTGGGCCCGATAGTATCTTTTTCAGGCAGCGTGTGTGATTTTGTACACTGTCCAACGGCTGGTTGACTCTCTTCAACGTTTGTGTTAACCATTGCTCGGCTTTGGAGGCCAAAACAACGTTGACGTTGGAATGGGGCGTAAAGACTGTAGCCGAAGGGGGTAGTAATGAGATCAGCATAGTGGCCTTGGGTATGTGTGAGCCAGTATGTTACTACATTCAATAGTTTATGGCAAATGCGTAGACGAAAAAAAAACCAAGGAAAGGCTTGGCTCTAGGGCAATTGGAATTCGATAGGAAGACCTTACAGCGGAGCCTAGGACTGGAAAATTTTGGGCGATTAGGGTGGAAGGAAGACGAGAGAATGCGATTGGGTGAAGAAGAGATAATGATCGAGGCGAATGAGATCTTTTCAAAGCTTGCAGGCGATAGTCGTAGAAGGCATCTGCAGTCCCATGTCTACCCCTTGTAAAATCCAAAGAAAAATTATTCCTTGTTGAGAAGATGATGGAACACAAATGACACTGCGGAGCCGAAATTATGGAAAACAGATGGCCTTGGGCACTAGGTGGCTCCAATATCTCATTTGGTGTGCTCACCTCCCCCCTTTACCGATCCGCGTAGTTTTCTCCATGTGGTCTCATCGCATTGGCCTTTATGCATGTGTTCAGAAGTTCTAGGCTCCAGCTCATCTTTGACATGCGCCACAGGGGAACCCTGTGTTATTAAGATACCCATATTCACTCTGATCTTGCAATACTAGGGTGGTTCTCATGACTAAAGCGTGCATTCGGCACGGTATGATACACAGGACATGGGTGGCGCAAGACGTGCGTAATCAGCTCGCTAGCGTTTCTCGGCAAGTCCAAGGCGCGTCATCAAAACTGTCGAGGGATGCTTTCCTGGCTACCAGACTGGTCATCCCACGACTATTGCATTAAAATTTCTTATTTAAGTTCCAGTGCTAGCGCTACCGTTGGCTGTCACAGCCGTAACAGATCTTGACCCCGGACTGTTCACCAGTTCTTTCAAAGTTACCTTGCACTACATCGTATCGTCGCTTGATATTCCCCAACGCTAGCGCCATACTTTCATACACAAAATTTCTCCACCTTCCTTAAGCCTGTATTAATTGGGAATCTTGTTGTATGGCTTTTAGAACAGACAATCAGCATGGTGACCGCACCACTCCAGCCTGCCTCCACAGATCTGGCCAACTCCCTTGGAACTATAAAACGCTTAAAGTCCCTGTCACCTACACTGAAGCGCAATCTCCTGTTTCCCTGCCATCCTTCAGCGAAATGATTGCCAATTTAGTCCCAAATCAAGACGAACAGACCCCTCTTGGGGGCGGCTCTATAACCTCAGAATTACCTTACTCTCAACGAGCGAGTAACCAGCCGATTCCACCACCATTTCTTGCTGAATGCAAGAACGAATTTCGGCACACAAGTACCAATCCCCCACTATCCGTTCACAATCGGGGGATCGCGCAAACACCATCTGATAAAAAGGGAGGAGATATGTTAGCACAGACTATGCAATGCCCTATTCGCGCCCGTATAGAGATAAAGAAGACTGAGTGTGTGTCCTCATCCCAAGGCGGTGAATCATCGGTCGTGCGGTTGAGGAACAAGAATGGGAATGAATATAACATTCCAGCGGATACAAAGATAGCTTCCACGGAGGCTCAGAAAAAGAGGAAGCGCAATGCCGACGCATCAAAGCGTTTCCGTGCTAAGAGGGACGAAAGAAATCGTGAGATGAAAATGGAGATAAAGAGGTTGGAATTTCAGTTAGGCGAGTGCAAGAGCGATAGAGACCGTTATCGAAACGAAAGAAACGAGGTATGTACATACTATCTGCACTACAGCGGGCTAGTCTATATTGGCTCATTTCCCGATCACCATCACCATTACCGAAGTCATCTTTTGCGGCTGATCAAGGCTTAAAAGCGTCTTGCAACAATCATGATGAAGAGACGTCCAAGGAACAACACAATTTTCGAAGGAGACACAGTAGCTATCGTTGTGTTGGATAATGGACTCACTGGCTAACTAAGAATGTGCAGGCGCGGGCGTATATAGCTGAAGTATTGGATGGCTGTGCCCAGCCATCCACCAAGTCCACCCACCAAGTTCGCCCTATACGACCTTTACCACTTTTTAACACGCTGGACCCTGGGCCGTCAACAAACTGATACGTCTGCTTATTGCCACGAATCCTTGCATCAGTAAATGGTTACTCCACTCGGTTTCGCCAGTTTTCACGGAATCGACAGGCAGAGGTCACAAGGATTCGGTCTAAAGCCAGACGACTAACTTACGACGAACCGTTTCCTCCTGGACTGACAGATATGAGCAGCACACTTGGGCTCGTAAGCAGACCTCGGAGAAGCAGCAGCAATGCTTTTGTGGCCTTGTATCACCGCGGGCAATCTTACGTGCTAGCTCCCATAGCTGTGTTCTTAGATCTTTTGGCTCAAAATTGTATAATCCATTCTTTACTAGCCGCCTAGAAGCCCTTGAGATAACATAATGAGCGCGCCTGTGTCAGGCTACCACAAATTCTACGCTTGGTTCTGCTAAACTACGTCGTCAAGATATTGATTTTTCTAACGCGTTTTTTGGTGGTGGTTGTAATAGTCTATGTGGGACTTGCATAGGGCAGTATGTATGTAGATATAAAATGTGGCCATTTACTTTCGATAAACATCTCGGTAGAACATTATGTGCGCCTAATTTGGCAGTGAGCGTGTGTTTCTCTGATGAGGGGTGAATTTCCGGAAAGAAGTGAACGGTTAAGAGGGAAAAAGCAACAGTTACATCATTCAGAAGAGAAAAAACAAAACAATAATAGTTTGAGGATTAATTTCGCTCTTTACACCAATGTAGTAGCGGGATGGAAGGATTATCGTAATGGCACGCACGCAGTAATATGTATTTCTCCCACTTTGTTTAATTAATACTGAAATGAAATTAAGACAAGAAGTTTGTTCCATAAAGAACAACAACATCTAAGAGTTATCAATAAGGCGTCTTGGCTCGCAAGCATGACTTCACCTTTTCATCCCAATATTCAGCTGTAGCATTTTTTATTTGCAGACACTTAATCTCATATGCCATGCAATCCATGCATGGACAAGAGGTAGAGCCTTCCAAATAGAACGGAAACCGATTCGTTCCTATCGCTTTGTTTTGTGCGCGTGAATCGGTCGTTTGGATATGTATTACCTCTCCGGAGAGTGGTATATTGATTGGTGGTCCCCAGCAACCATCCGCTTTGGGTATTTCTTGCTGTAGACCTTCTTTTGTAATATCGCTCGTACTGATATTCGTAGGATCTTGGTTGTACTGTATAGGTGTTGGAGGTTTTTCGTGGTTGGTGAAAGTCGAGGCACTGGAGCTGGCAGATTTGGGCTCACAATCTGCCGTAGTTCTGGGCTCCCGTGACACGAGCTTTAACAGCTTTATAAACACTGTGTAGCAACTGCGCTTGGATTGCTTCGGCGTAGTAGTCATGACAGAAGGTGACAAAGATTGGGTCATTTAGGGCCAAATTTCGTGCAGGAAGGCAACCAGTAGATGACGGAAAGGCAGGAAGGCAAACAGACGCCTCAGGGTGGTAATAAACATATAAACAGCATGAAAAAACGGACCTATCGGGATAGTTAGTTTTGTACAAGCAGGTCTATCTATAGAGATGCTTGCTTATGTTAGCCACAGCAATTATCTGATCTGCTTGGAGCACACGGTCGTCGCATAAGAATTATGTCCTTGGTGTGACGGCGGTTCAAAGGAAGGCACGGAAATGACCCGTTTTGGCCAAATCACGGAGTTGAGCACTCTACTTAGCAGAATCGTCCAAACCCTTGACTTAGTAGTGGCTGGAGCGATAGTCCATAGATGACGAGCGTGGGGGCGCATGTGCTACCCCGGTCCGCTTGTGTTGGTTCCGTGCCGCGCAGCCTCAGTAGAGATGTGCACGTAAGTGGTCTGGAACAACATGAGACGTTGAAGTAGACTCTCGCTTATGATATGTTAGCGAACGCTAGATGCATGGATGTGCATGACTGCTTAGCGGCATGAGCGGGACGTCAGATGACAGGACAGCCTCCGCGGATCTGTGTACTGAACAGGCCTCCAATATTTAACGCACAGAGAGCAAGGGCATCTGTTCAATCGGGTTACTTGGAATACGCCACAAACTCCCCTGCTCGCGCAATCACTCCCTGCTCGCGCAAATACTCCCTGCTCGCGCAAA